ATATTTATGCTGCTCTGGAATTTTGGAAGTCTAGAACATCTGAAGAACCAAAGGCTGAGAACAACTGGTAGGGTGCACAATGGAAGAGTTTATACCAAGTGTGCTCAAGTTAGTAAACATCAAAACATCCGAGTGTCCCCTGGGCAAAGTCTTTGCAGATGACCAATTCTCTCACACCAGAAGCGACTTGCAATTTCTCAAGTCACTCCTGACACACACCAAAAACCCTACACAAAGCATCTAAAAGGAGATTAGAGTATATAGATCAGATTGATATACAGTGCAAATGAGATGAGGACATTTGAGATCCACACCTAGGATGAGATATATATGGTTACCATTTAACTACGTACTTTCATATTATATTGTACAAAACTTCCTTTGTCTGTATATTTATATTTTGTTTGGACCAGATATATATTGTATGCTGTTTTTATAATGTGTGCTAAGAAAAGAATAACTTCCATTAAATAAGATTAATAAAATCCATATTTTTCTCTTGACGCCTCCCCATTACTTTGCCCTCTTCTCTACAGGTGCCCTGACACTAGAATGCTACAGTTGTGTGGACCGAGGGGATGGAGGCTGCAGCACAGAGAACATAAAGAAAGTGAAGTGCCCATCGTCCACCCATGTCTGTGTGGAAACCGTGGCAGCTGTGGAGTGGAGTGAGTTATCAATTGACCTGATCTGTTTTCTATATGTATAAATCTCATAGCAGTTCTGCATTTCTTTTGCTCAAAGGTACTGAACCAGTTTTATTTGGGCAGTGGTAAGGAGAAAATACTTTGGACATGCTCAGAGGAAATCCAATATTTTACACCTTTAGCTTTAGCACTAAAAGCCTATTCTGAGGTTTTTTTTTCCATGTCAGGAGCGACTTGAGAAACTGCAAGTTGCTTCTGGTGTGAGAGAATTGGCCGTCTGCAAGGACATTGCCCAGAGGATGCCCAGATGTTTTGATGTTTTACCATCTTTGTGGACGGCTTCTCTTAGGTCCCTGCATAGGGAGCTGGAGCTAACAGAGGGAGCTCATCTGCACTCTCCCCGGATTTGAACCTGCGACCTATTGGTCTTCAGTCCTGCTGGCACAAGGGTTTAACCCATTGCGCCACCGGGGGCTCCTATTCTGAGTTTAAAATCATAGAATCATAGAAACATAGAGTTGGAAGAGACCTCATGGGCCATCCAGTCCAACCCCTGCCAAGAAGCAGGAATATTGCATTCAAAGCACCCCTGACAGATGGCCATCCAGCCTTTGTTTAAAAGCTTCCAAAGAAGGAGCCTCCACCACACTCTGGGGCAGAGAGTTCCACTGCTGAACGGCTCTCACAATCAGGAAGTTCTTCCTCATGTTCAGATGGAATCTCCTTTCTTGTAGTTTGAAGCCATTGTTCTGTGTCCTAGTCTCTAGCCCATCGTCTGTTTGGATATCAACCAGCATGCCAACATCTTAAATCAAGAAATAGCTTTCTAAGATCTATAGAGACATTCACAGGGACACCTCAGCAAGCAAGAGTCCCAAAGTGGCAGATTAAAACCCGGAACCTCAATCAGTGACTTGATACCAAATGAAAAACTCCCTCCTTAGCACACATAAAACTGAGCAATTTTGAAGGCACTGAACAGATTGTGCTCTGGCACCACGAGATGCAGACCCAACCTTAAGAAATGGGGCTACAAAGTGGAATCCACAACATGCGAATGTGGAGAAGAGGAAACCAGAGACCACATGCACAATGGAGGACCTTCTTACAGTGACACCAGAGGCACTTCAAGTGGCCAGCTACTGGTCAAGGACATTTAGTATAATGCCATTTTGTTTGTGGCTGTTTTTTTTATACATTATAAGTGTATTCTCAATTCGCTTCTGACATGATAAATAAATAAATCCAAGTGCATCTGTTGATGTGAACTCTTTCTCTTTATTTCCCTGCGTAAACACGTTGTCCTTCCTTTTTGCAGGTCATGGGAAGTTCTCAGTTGGGGAGAAAGGCTGCGGCTTGGGCATGGCAGGCACCAACGACAAAGCAGTAGCCGTCCATGGCATCTATGCCTTCTCCCAGTTACACCAGTGCAACAAAAGCCGCTGCAACAACAAACTGGACATCAAAAAACTGGAACTGCAACCCATGGGTGAGAATATGAGTGATGAAGGCTTACATGGAGGGATGTAATTCTTTGTAAATTTTGTTCTTATATACAACCATAATGTTTTTACATTTTCCCCCACTATGTGAAAGAACTCAAAAACTACGGGATTTGGGGGAGGACAGGTACGAGTCTTGGCTCAAACAAACCTGCCCACGTTTTGAAATCTCCTGAGATAGCCCTCTCCCACCATCCACACAGTTCCATCTAGTGGAAAGTTCCATCTAGTGGAAAGATAGGAGAAGACCTTCTCTAGGGCTGTTTCCAAGCTCTGAAACTCTTCTTAGAGCAGGGGTCCTCAAACTTTTTAAACAGAGGGCCAGGTCATAGTCCCGCAAACTGTTGGAGGGCCGGATTATAATTTGAAAAAAACCATGAATGAGTTCCTATGCACACTGCACATATATTATTTGTAGTGCAAAACCACTTAAAAACAATACAATAATTAAAATGAACAATTTTAACAAATATAAGCTTATTAGTATTTCAATGGGAAGTGTGGACCTGCTTTTGGCTGATGAGATAGGATTGTTGTTGTGTGCTTTCAAGTTGTTTCAGACTTAGGTTGACCCTGAACGAGGGCCGAGTAAATGACATTGGAGGGCCGTATCCGGCCCCCGGGCCTTAGTTTGAGGACCCCTGTCTTAGAGAGTTTACATTAATCCCTTCCCTACTACCATTCCATAAGTGATTTCTTAAATTGTGGCATAGTTTTGGAAACAATAATTAGGGGAAATATAAGTGTATAATTTGATGGACTTTTATTTGCAGTTGTTGCTTTTAAAAGTTGAAATGTAAACTGGTTTTGTGTATGTATAGTTTTATTGCTTTTTTAAATTTCTGCATGGTGTGAATTTTTAACCATATGTTTCTAAATGTTTGGCCAAAGTTTTAAGTTACTGTGATACTAGAAATTAGGGGACTGAAGGAAATTTTTACAGGAAGTAGACTATTTATTTTGGCGGCAATACCCTTGTTTTCATTCCCTACCATAGCTATGCCCTGGATGTACCTCATGCCAACCAATCTTGGGATAAGATATATGGATAGCAAGGTTTGGCCACTACCATGTGAGTTTTATATTCAAATGACAATACTCCATTGAACTTCAGTGATCTGAGGCCCACCTACACTGCCATATACAGGCAGTCCGAGTTGCAGACATCCGACTTACAAATGACTCACAGTTAAGAATAGAGGTGAGACAACATGAAGTGAGAGAAATCAACTTCTCAGAAGGAAATGTTGCACTCCAGGCCTGGAAAAACCTATGACCACTGCACCATGCAAGAGTCCAGGAATATAAGTAAACAGTTTATTGTAAAACACATAGAAAAGCAGGAATAAGAAAGGAAAGATGTAAAATCCAAAAAGGTTTAGCAACAGATGATAACCAAACAATAATCCAAATATCTCATAAAGTCCAGAAACAGCCAGAAATCACAGGTACAGGATAAATCCACAAGTAAGAAGGTGTAACTAGTAAAACTTGAACAGAAGTACCTGAACAGGAACACAGAAAATTTTCCATGATATTAAAATCCAAAACCAAAGTTTGACTTCAACCAGGAACAAGAGAACTCAGGCTTAGCTTCTCATTCTAACATAGCATTGCCCGAACTGCCCTTAAGGTAAACAACTTGTTGTTTAATAGACACCCATGAAAGCATTACATCTCCCATGAATTTTCTCCACACCTTTCCCACATAATCTCTCAGGCCAGCATAATCTATTTTCAGCCCTGATTTGTAAACAAAGAGTTTTGTTGATCTCCGTAGCTACAGGTGGTTTCTCTTGAGATCCCTTATTATCACTCAGCGCTTCACTCGATTCCTTATCCGTTGTTGCTCCTTCTGACTCCTTGGACTGGCCTTGAGGCCCTGCAATTTCCAAGCCAGTTTTCTCACAGAGAGAAACATCATTTCCCATACCTGAATTTCCTAGACTTGAGAGCCCATCACTTTGTGCCATGGGAAAGTCCACAATCCTTTCTAAATCATCAGTTAAACTGATCTACAACAGGAAATTCATTCCTGAAAGAGTTATTATTATGGGGAAAAGGTGTCACAACTGAAGCTTTAGCACTAATCCTTGTTTCCACAAGAAGCCAAATTTTCAAAAACCAATTATCACAGGGACAGAAAGTGAGGTGAAATCTTCTGAATAGCGCCACAGACAGCAAAACAAACACCACAGGGATCTTAACCCTTCCCTGTGCTATCCAGATAGATAGATAGAGGGAGGGAGATAGATATTTGGCTGGAGTTGCACTTTTAAAATGTGCCTGTTCCGACTTATATACAAATTCAGCTTAAGAACAAGCCTGCAGAACCTATCTTGTTCATAAGCTACAAGGACTACCTGTAATACAGTACATTAAATGATAGTGTAGATGAGACTTCAGACAGTCCCTCCTTATAGTACTTTGTTATATCTCTATCTCTACTCAGTCTCAACACATTTTAGACATACTGCTTTTCTTAGTAATGACATCCGGTTCGTTTTTTTGTTTTGGCACCGTAGGTGTAACTTTCCTTGGTTAAATTTAGTTTCTCTGCAATTCCTTCATTGGCACGTAGTTGACCTCAATGTCTCTTGGCCTCACATCTGATTGTATGATTCTGTTTTAAGAAACCTTTAAGAGCATAACAAATTCTCTGTTAGCATGCACACAATGCTTCTTTTGCAACATTCATAAAAATCAGAGTCTGAGTGAAGAGTGTCTCTCCATCAATACTAATACCAGCCTTTTCCTTGGTTGACAGATAATGTGACTGCCAGAGTTCCCAATGATGTGGAGTGTTACAGCTGCCTCGGCGATGACTGCTCAATTAACAATTCAACCATAGTCAAGTGCTACAACTCTTACCAGGGTTGCTTCCACGGCAATGTCACAATGAAAGCAGGTAAAAGCAATGTGTAAAACCAGGCTGCCTTTTAGTTTGGCTAGTATGGTTGACCTAGGGATGAATTATGGCAGAGGAAAATGCTAAAAGTTTGTTATCTGCAAGGCAAACTCTACCTATATTGCATTTTACTGGATTATTTTAGGGATATATTGAAAAGATGGAGAACAGAGTGGTAGTTCCTTGTTTGGAGGAGTCAAAAAAAATCTGGAATAGGGCTGTTTTCTGGCATGGTCAAATTGACACAAATCATTGACTGGCTGCACTATGTAACAAAGCTCACATTTGTCTACTGCTAAGTCGTGATATGACCAAAATGTGGACAGTGAGAAAATGAGATTTATGTTGCTATAGCATTTAACACCCCCCCCCCCACCCCCCATCACATTTTTCTGCATATTTTGGATGGAAATAATATGGAGAAATAGAAAGTGAAACTCATCTGGCTACGTCCACAATTTCCTAAATGAAACCCATTACAGCAGTATTTCTCAACCTGGAGGTCGGGACCCTTGGGGGAGGTCACGAGGGGGTTGCCAAAGACCCATTAGAAAGGAGTTGCCAAAGACCCATTCGAAAACAGAGTATTATCTGTTGGTCATCTGTGTGGGAAGTTTGGTCCAATTGTTAGTTGGTGGGGTTCAGAATGCTCTTTGATTGTAGGTGAACTATAAATCCCAGCAACTATAACTCCCAAATGTCAAGGTCTATTTTCCCCAAACTCCACCAGTGTTCACATTTGGGCATATTGAATATCCATGCCAAGTTTGGTCCAGATCCATCATTGTTGAGTCCACAGTGCTCTGGATGTAGGTGAACTACAACTCCCAAACTCAAGGTCAATGCCCACCAAACCCTTCCAGTATTTTCTGTTGGTCATGGGAGTTCTGTGTGCCAAGTTTGGTTCAATTCCATAGTTGGTGGGGTTCAGAATGCTCTTTGATTGTAGGTGAACTATAAATCCCAGCAACTACAACTCCCAAATGTCAAGGTCTATTTTTCCCAAACTCCACCAGTGTTCACATTTGGGTATATTGAGTATTCATGCCAAGTTTGGTCCAGATCCATCATTGTTTGAGTTCACAGTGCTCTCTGGATGTAGGTGAACTACAACTCCAAAACTCAAGGTCAATGCCTACCAAACCCTTCCAGTATTTTCTGTTGGTCATAGGAGTTCTGTGTGCCAAGTTTGATTCAATACCATCGTTGGTGGAGTTCAGAATGCTCTTTGATTGTAGGTGAACTATAAATCCCAGTAACTACAACTCCCAAATGACAAAATCAATCCCTCCCAACCCCACCAGTATTCAAATTTGGGTGTATTGGGTATTTGTGCCAAATTTTGTCCAGTGAATGAAAATACATCCTGCATATCAAATATTTACATTATGATTCATAACAGTAGCAAAATTACACTTATGAAATAGCAACAAAAATAATTTTATGTTTGGGGGTCACCACAGCACGAGGAACTGTATTAAGGGGTCACGGCATTAGGACGGTTGAGAACCACTGCATTACAGTATGAACCCTATATCCTTGGTTTGATTTACTCACATCTGACAAAGTTTCTCATCTCTAGACATTTTCTAGGCAATTAAACAGTAGACTTCCACCAGAACTTGCATAGAGTTAGGCTGGAGAACCTAGAGGAAAATTGACCTTGACATTTGGGAGTTGTAGTTGCTGGGATTTATAGTTAACCTACAATCAAAGAACATTCTGAACTCCACCAATGATAGAAGTGGACCAAACTTCCCCATAGAAACCCCATGACCAACAGAAAATACTGTGTTTTCTGATGGTTTTTGGCAACCCCCCTGACACCCTCCACCCCCCCCCCCAGGAGTCCCAACCCCCAGGTTGAGAAACACTGATACAGGGGTTGCACTGTACTCTTCAGGTGTCTCCTGAGTTTTCATCTTCTTTTTAATCTCTTCCAGGAAACTTCTCATTGACCAAACCTATCAAAGGCTGTGTGGAGGATGAGGACTGTACTAAGGTATCCAAAGGAAGCCACGCCATCACTCTTGTGGGTTCCTGTTGTTCTGGAAGCCTCTGCAATGTGGATCTCTCCAACAAAACACACTTTGCTGCCAAGATCCCACGGCTAGAGTTCCTTCCTGGGCCTGACTCCAATGCTAATGCAACCACTTCTGCAAGTACTCATGCCAACATACCAGCCTCTTCCACTATCAACAAGCTAATCCCGATCTGTTACTTTGAGCCCATCACTGTCCAGCCATCCTGACCATGACCACGACCACGACCATGAGCATGATCATGGTGATGAAGAATTCACCTCAGTGAGAAACGGAGACATTGCCACGGCTGTGAAAGTTGAAGAAAGACACAACCAACAAGATCAGGGCACGAAAGGGGGTGCGAAAGGGGGTGCAGTGGGTTTGGGGGGATCAGTCTTGATGGTCTTGTTGTTGGTTGGTTTGTTCATATGAAGAGGCCTTGGCCTACCTATCTTTGGCATCTTGTTTTGAACTGAACATGATGCATTTGATCCTATCAATGATAAATGCCCTTTCACTGATCACATGAACACTCATACCTTTTGCATAGCAGAAGGCTGTTCTCACTTGTGCACTTCTCTATGCCTTGATTTCCTGCAGCCATGTTGTAGAACATGACAAAGACTGTCTAGAATGAGCCAGCATCCTACAGGGCAAAGATTTGTATTATGTTGTTGCTATGTTTATATGTCTCAAAAATCTGTTCTGCTCTTATGAAACCATTTTTCTTCTGTGCGTGAGACTTACTGTGTCTTCATTATGTAACTTGAGCATGCTTGGTACAAACTCTTCCATTGTGCACCCTATCAGTTGTTCTCAGCCTTTGATTCTTCAGATGTTCTAGACTTCCAGAATTCTAAAGCAGTACAAAAAAAAAATTCGTGTCAGGAGCGACTTGAGAAACTGCAAATCACTTCTGGTGTGAGAGAATTGACCATCTGCAAGGACATTGCTCAGGGGACACTCGGATGTTTTTCATGTTTTACCATCATTGTGGGAGGCTTCTCTCATGTCTCCACATGGGGAGCTGGAGCTGACACAGGGAGCTCATCCACGTTCTCTCCAGATTCAAACCTACAACCTTTTGTTCTTCAGTCCTGTCGGCACAAGGGTTTAACCCACTGCACCACCGGGGGCTCCTAAAAGTAATTATTAAACTTTATTTATAGACTCTCCCTAAGGGCACTCAGGATGGTTTACACACACAAAAAGGCAAACAGTCAATGCCCAAACAAATACAAATACATTACAGTAGTACTATGTAATACTAAATAATAACAACAGTGTGCTTATCACATAAAGGAAATAACATCAAATGAAAAATAGGATACAAATCATCAGGTAAAACAAATTACACTAATAACATAGTCAATGCTAAAACATTTATCATGATTTTTTTCATGTCAGGAGAAACTTGAGAAACTGGAGTCCCTTCTGGTGTGAGAGAATTGGCTGTCTGCAAGGATATTGCCCAGGAGATGCCAGATATTTTTGATGTTTTACCATCCTTGTGGGAGGCTTCTCTCATGTCCCCGCATGGGGAGCTGGAGCTGACAGAGGGAGCTTATTCATGCTTTCCCCAGATTAGAACCTCCAACCTGTCAGTTTTCAGTCCCGGCTTAACCCATTGTGCCACCAGGGGCTCCTATCTGTCATGATTTTTTTATCTATCATGATAAAAACAATTAAAATGGATGGAATAGTAGCAGTTATAGTTGTTATTTAAAATGTATCATAGTGGCTACGGGGTACAAGTAGGTCAGCCAGCATTCCAAAATGATTAGTCTAGAGTGTCCTAGTCCTCCTCCTCTAAGTGCAGATGTGCGTTTTCAGCAGTTTTTTGGAGGAGAGGAGAGTGAGGGCCATTTTTATTTCTTTAGGGAGAGAGTTCCAGAAACGGGGAGTGATCATGGAGAAGGGAACCCTCTCTTGTTCCCACCAACCACACTTGTGACTGAGAGCAGGGCCTCTTCCGCTGACCACAGTGCACAATGGCAGTGGTTCTCAACCTGTGGGTCCCCAGATGTTTTGGCCTTCAACTCCCAAACAGCTGGTAAACTGGAGATTCCATCTGAACATTAGGAAGAACTTCCTGACTGTGAGAGCCGTTCAGCAGTGGAACTCTCTGCCCTGGAGTGTGGTGGAGGCTCCTTCTTTGGAAGCTTTTAAACAGAGGCTGGATAGCCATCTGTCAGGGGTGCTTTGAATGCATATCCCTGCTTCTAGGCAGGGGATTGGACTGGATGGCCCATGAGGTTTCTTCCAACTCTATGATTCTATGATTTCTGGGAGGTGTAGGCCAAAACACCTGGAGACCCACAGTTTGAGAACCACTGATGTAGGGAGATGTGGTTAGACATATAGCCTGGACCTGGACTATTTAGGGTTTTATAGGTAACGACCAGCATTTTGTATGTACCCCATCTGGAGGGCCAAAGGCTGAGAAAGACATTGTTTATCAGTTGAGTTTGCACTTGACATTGAGAGTAGTTTGATGTCAAGTTTCTGCTTGGCATATGATTCTGTACAAGATGGTCATCCTCATGCTTTTTGCTAAGCAATTAGCATGCTACTTCTTCTATGGAAATAATTTGTCATAGAATAATAATAATAAAGACCCAAGAGCCACTGACACTGTTTCCTTTCTTCCAATAACAACTTTAATGTTTAGACATGTCAACTTTCTAATATTTGATAACAGTCAGAGACAAGATGCATTTTTTTAAAGAAAATAAATAAAGTTAGAAAGGCGCTGAAATCCAAAGAATGAAGGCAATGAGGTCCAAAAAATATACTGCTATCTGGGACCCAATGATTTGGCTCAATCAAAGCATTTTTGAAATGGTGCATTTCAAAGTATGGCTGTAATTCAGGATGCAAACAGCTGGGATCCACTTTAGATCTGACCAAAAGACTTGCAAGATGAAGTGAGGGGCAATTTTCCCATGGGCTGCTGTGAGTTTTCCAGGCTGTATGACCATGTTCCAGAAGCATTCCCTCCTGACGTTTCACCCACATATATGGCAGGCATCCTTAGAAGTTGAGGGGGTCTATTAAAACTAGGCAAGTGAGGTTTATATATCTGTGGAATGTTCAGGGTGGGAGAAAGAACTCATGCCTGCTTGAGGCAGGTGGGAATGTTTCAATTGACCACCTTGAATAGCATTTAATATCCTTTTATGGGAGGTTTAAATGGGTTTTTTTCTGTCCATGTAGATAACTCCTTCAGCAGCTCATGAAGTGAGAGCACACTCCAAACTCTGTTTCTCTCTGCTTCTCTCTTCAAACTCTCTGTGCACCTGCATAGCTCAAGTCTAAACAAAAATGTAACAGTATCCCAAAGTCCCAGGCTCAGCCATCTCGCCGAGCATTGCCTGACCAATCAGCTTCATGCACATTATTTTACAGTTAACTCTCACACACACTCGTTGATTCCTTGCATGTTCCAACATTCTTGACTGCCAAAAATCCATGTGAGTTCTCTCCAAGTCAATATATTATGTTTTTACTCCATTCCTCTAAGGAAATAGGTCTTCCTATTTGCCTCGCCCATTTGACCATGTATTCTTTAATCCTTTCTTCCTCTGTGGCCCATTCGAGTAGGAGCTTATATGCCCTTGTTATGTATTTTTTTTTCTTTTCTAGGAGTTTGTCCCATGCGGAAGGTGATTCCATAAAACCTTTTTTGCAGTCTTCTTTAAAGTATTCGTTTAACTGCCAGTGCTGGAGCCAAGTGATGTTTCTATATTGTTGTTTTAATACCTCTTGGGATTTTAATCTAATTTCTTTTCTTTCCTTAAACAGTATATCCTTATACGTTGGCCATAGATTCCAGCCTAGCTCCCTCCTCTGGTGGGCTTCAAGGGGGGATACCCAAAGTGGTGTATGGGGGTACATCCTATCCTTATACGTATCCCATACTTTTAAGAGAGCCGACCGAATGAAGTGATTTCTAAATGTTTTTTCTACCTTAGCCTTGTTATGCCATAAGTAGGCGTGCCACCCAGTTCTTAAATCGTGGCCTTCTAGGATTAATATCTTTTTATTTCTTAGTAGTATCCATTCTTGTATCCATTCCATACAACACGCTTCAAAATACAGCTTTAAACTCGGCAGGCCTAGGCCTCCTCTCATATTATGTTTTAATCTTTTGACTTTTTAACCTCCTAACTGAGGGTGTCCATAATCTGGCTTCGATGCCTTAGCTACAGTTCTTCATGTGTGGGAGTAGGAATTGAGGAACAAGCAGAGTAAGAGGTTCTGAAACCAAACAAGACAAAGACATTACAATCCAGCCCAGCCTAATCCAAAAGCGCTTCTCCTATTTATAGGAATGTATGTGGTTAGCTGTTGTTGTGTCAGCCTCCAGTTACACATGGCAATCATGTGAAGTCCCATCCTCTCATGTCTCAGTCTAACACATTGAGACAGTCTCAAACCTGGGATTCACCCATGGGTGGGAGAAGAGGCCACTGTCCCCATACAAAGTTCTGCTCCCCCACCATGAAATTTTGTCAGTGCCCAAATTTCTAGCATTGCAATAATTTCAATCTTCAGTTGGACACTTAGAAAGAGAGTCCGAGCATCCAAAGAAAAGAGGTGGGCAAAGGTGATGAAGGGAAGGTGAACACAGCAAATATTAATGATTGCAACACCACTTTAACTGCTATGTCTCATTGTTATGGAATCCCAAGAGCTGTGGTTTTCCAAGGTCTTTAGCCTTCTCTTTCAAATAGTGCTAGTGCCCCACCAAACTATGATTCTCATGATTCCACAGCATTGAGACATGGCAATTAAAGTAGTGTCGGGCTGCACTGATTGTGCGGTGTAGACTTACTCTACGTCTACTCTTCAGGAGGTGTTCAGATGCCAACTGTGAATGATGGAACATGTCAGGAGGACCCATCCCTTCTTAATGGTTCCCAATCCAGATTTGGCACAGGCAGGCCTTCAAAGAGAACAGATCTATAAATAGAGGATTCTCCTGAGGCAGCTATTCAAACTAAATATTTTCTGAACAGTGGGACACTTAGCCATTGTATTTGTGTCCCTCCATTTCCTGTTCCAGAAAGTTGATTCTGTGAAAAAGAACAGAAAAATAAGGGAGAATAGTAGGCAGTCTATTCGCTTAGAACAATAGATCTTTGTTTCTCAATGATGGAGATGATATATGATTGCCCACATCATAAGAATTCTTCCTTTCCAAAGAGATTTTCCCTCACTCTCCAATTGTCTTTCACTCCAGAGTGTGAGACATCTAGAACATTTTTATTTGCTGTGTTCATATCTCTTTGACCAAAGGGTTTCTTTCTTTCTTTCTTCTTCTTCTTCTTCTTCTTCTTCTTCTTCTTCTTCTTCTTCTTCTTCTTCTTCTTCTTCTTCTTCCTCTTCTTCTTCTTCTTCTTCTTCTTCTTCTTCTTCTTCTTCTTCTTCTTCTTCTTCTTCTTCTTCTTTTTGTATGCCTTAACTCAGTGGTTCCCAACCTGTGGTCTATGGACCACCAGTGGTTTGCAAGAACTAAAATATGGTCTGTGGTCTCACCATTGGAACTAGAGTGACTGGTCTCGCGAAACTCTCTTATAGTGCTGAGACAACGTGGATGTTGAGAGAGGAGAGGCTGACTATCCACAAAAGGCACAACAGCAAGCCTCCTGACTGCTGCTTCTCTTCCTCCTTCCTCCCCCTGAGCAGAGTCATTCTATGTGGGGCCTGGAAGCAGGAGTGCCTTTATGTCT